AAAATTAGCTGGGCATGGTGGCACGTGCCTGTAATCCCAGCTACTCAGGAGGCTGAGGCAGGAGAATTGCCTGAACCCAGGGGGCGGAGGTTGCGGTGAGCCGAGATTGCGCCATTGCACTCCAGCCTGGGTAACAAGAGCGAAACTCCGTCTCAAAAAAAAAAAAAAAAAGAATGTTTACATACTGGTCAGCCACAGAAAAATGGGAAATGTCCACTGCATCGCAGTTTAATAGTGTAGCATCATTTATAAAGATGGGTAAAACTCGGTCTATGCAGTCACACATCCGGTGCCCTAAGTGGGGCAGAGTTATGATTAACGGGCATAGGCTTGTTAGGAATTCTTGCTCTAAAGGCTGAAAATTGGCTGGGCATGGTGGCTTACACCTGTAATGCCTGCACTTTGGGAGGCTGGGACAGGCAGATAACTTGAAGACAGGAGTTTGAGACCAGCCTGGCCAACATGGTGAAACCTCATCTCTACTAAAAATACAAAAATTAGCCAGGCGTGGTGGTGCACACCTGTAACTCCAGCGACTCAGGAGGCTGAGTCAGGAGAATCGCTTGAACCTGGGAGGCAAAGGTTGCAGTGAGCCAAGGTCACGCTACTGCACTCTAGCCTGGGCGACAGAGTAAGACTCTGTCTCAAAAATAAAAATTAAAAAATAAAGGCTGAAAATTTTACCAGCCAAAATTAAATTTGAAGCAGTTAGCAGTTTCCTGGTACTTTGCCCATAACAATTTAAAAGTTGTGGTTGAGCACAGCACGCTAGTGGCGTATCACGAAACTCCTGCTGCAGCATAGACGAAGCCAGGGGAACCTTCTCCTTAATCAAGTTTCCATTTTCCCCTCCTAACCCCTTGAAAGAACAAGATGACTCCATGCTTTGCTTCTTCCTAGTCTAGTAGTGACTCTGGAACTCCAGGAACACAGCTCAGAGTTTAGCCCCAGCTTCCCACGGACAGGTTTGGAGGCTGAGTACAGGAAGGGCCCGGGTCCATGCCGGGAAAGTGCTGGGTTCGTGACGATGACCCTCAAGGCAATAAACAGGACTGAGACCTGCAAAGGAGCTGGCCTGACTGCAGGACAAAAGCAGAGGTGTGAGTAGGTAAGGTGGAGTCACAGCACGAGGCTTCTTCACCCAAGCAAACCCTCACGTTCAGGAATCTCATTCCACAGTGTTGTGACACAGGAGAGACCAGAGTATTTTCTCACACAGCCAGCACAATTTCAACACTAGATGTGGGGGGGATGTTTCCCCACAACCCAAGCAATTCTCCAACAGACACAGGCTGGGTGTCCTTTAATTCAATTCAATTCTGGCACTATCTACCTGGAAACAGTCTTTGGTCCCACAAGAATCCCCCCATTTCAGATGCCAATCCCACATAGTAGGTTGCTTCCTGTACCTCTGATCGCCCATCTATAAACTGGAATTCCCCCCACCCCCTCCTTGTTTGGGCTAATTTGCTAGAGTGGATCACAGAACTCAGTGAAACACTTTACGTCTTTTTGCCCATTTATGACGAAGGATATTACAAAGCATACGGATGACAGTGAGATGGAAGAGATGCACGGGGCAAGAAACATGGGAAGGGCCATGGTGTGTCCATATCGTCGCTGGGCACGCCACCCTCTAGGAACATGATATTCCGCTCTCCAGAACTCAACAAACCCTGCCCTTTGGGCTTTTATACAGGCTTCATTGCATATGTCTGATTGATTACATCATTGGTCATTGGTGATCAACTTAACCTTAGCCCCTCTCCTCTCCCCGGAGGTTGGGGGTGGGGTGGGACTAAAAGTCCCAACTCTCTAATCCTGCCTTGATCTTTTTGTTGACCAGCCCCCATCCTGAAGCTATCTACAGGCTCCAAGTCACCAATCATTTCAAGAGCATGCAAAAGGTATTTTCATCACTCGAGATTCCAAGGAATTTAAGAGCTTTAGGTCAGGAAACAGGGACTATAACCAAATATCTGTCTCACAATGTCACACACAGATGCACCTGCACAAGCACATACTGATCTATACAGGGATATTCACTGAAGTGCTGTTGGCAACCACAAAAAAAAACCTGGAATATATCATCCACATACGATTATATCAGTTCAATATATCACTGTATAATCATACTATGAGACATAATGCAACTATAAGAAAGAAGTCATATATAGGTGATTTGATATGTTGATACATTAGGGCACAGGAGCACGTGGCAGAACAGTTTGCATACTACTATTCCATTTTTTTTAGAAGGGAATATACAAATAGTCTTGTATATATATAGAAAGCACTGGAAGGGCAACCTAGGAACTGTGGGGACTTCCTGGGGAGGGGAGCAAGGAAAGAGAGACCTTTACTTTTCATTTCCTACCCTATTTCCGTTTTACTGTTTCCTGTGTGTACGAAGTCTTTATCATTAAAACAAACTAAGATGCCAGAAAAGTGAAGCACAGCAAGAAAAAGGAGTCAAGGGTCAAGAAACAATTTTTCCTCAAACGAGACTTGTCTCAGTTAAGAACACTTCTTAGCTGTACTCAAGAATGCGAAGACCCAAAGGGAAAACCGTCTGACTGTATCTTTTCCTTAATGCAGCTCAGAGCCAGGCCTCTACTCGCCTGGTGAGGGCCTGGGTCTGTCTCCTGCCCTGGCGTTTGGATGTGATCTGAGAGGAGGGAGTCAGGTAAAGGAACCTTCTGGACCTCAGACGACAGCCAGTTTTAGCAGGTGTTACTGAGGTAGGAATCCCCCCCCACCAAGCCCCCTACAAAAGAGCCAGCAGTTATTAAAAGCCTGGGACTAGAGCCGGGCAGACGGGGTTTATGGTCCTATTACCAAGGTGGTGATGCTAACAGTTAAAAGGCCGTGGAAGCTTGTTTCAAACTAATTGGCCTGTAGAGTAGGGGGAACAAAATGACCCTACTATGACCCTAGGTAACTTGGAGAAAGACCCCAAAAGAGAGGAGCTCTCCCTAACACTCCAGTGCCATGGGAAAATTTTACTCACACAAAATTCCCTAGAAACCCAGCCACCCCCGGTTGTAAGAGAGGCCTAGAGATGCACTGGCCAGAGCCGGTTTCAGGCCACTGCTCTTCTTCCCCATGCTGGGGTGCTGCTGCTTGCCTTCACCTTGACCCTGTATCCCCACTTTCCACTGCCCCAGATCTTCCAGGCCGAATGCCCCCTCTCCTCCTCCACTCTTCTGCGCTCTAAGAGGTAACTCCAGTGTGTTCAGCATATGGAAAAGGGAAGAACCGAACCCCTTCCACCGCTGCCTCCCTAGGCAGTGTGCAGAGCGCTGCTCTACAGATCGAGCCCGGATACCAGTGTCCAGGAGGCACGTAAACGCTTCCATTTTGATCCTTCCACTGCAAAAAATGCCCGGTTTAGTCTGGGAGACACTCAGACCTGTCGGGACAAGGGTGGCTAGAGGGAGGTCCAAGCTGCCCTGGGTGGATGGGGAGTCAAGACAGGCCAAAGCTTCAGATGTAGGCAGCAACCACCAAATCCGACCTGGGCTGCAGGTCCAAGGCCTCTTCCTCTTTCCTGCAAGCTCCGCTCTGACGCGGGCCCATCTTCCAATGTGACTCTGCAACAACTACGAAGGCAAAAAGGCCTGTCCCAACTTCACCCTCATGTCCCGGATCCCAACTTCACCCTCATGTCCCGGATCCCAACTTCACCCTCATGGCCAGATCCCAACTGCGTCCTCATGGCCGGGATCCCAACTTCACCCTCATGTCCCGGATCCCAACTTCACCCTCATGTCCCGGATCCCAACTCCATCCTCATGGCCCGGATCCCAGCTGCGTCTTTGTGGCCAGATCCCAACTCAGTCCTCGTGGCCCGGATCCCAACTGCGTCCTCGTGGCCCGGATCCCAACTGCGTCCTCGTGGCCCGGATCCCAACTCCGTCCTCGTGGCCCGGATCCCAACTCTGTACTCATGGCCGGATCCCAACTCCGTCCTCATGGCCAGGATCCCAACTGTGTCTTCATGGCCCGGATCCCAACTCCGTCCTCATGGCCCGGATCCCAACTTCACCCTCATGGCCGGATCCCAACTCCATCCTCATGGCCGGATCCCGACTGCGTCTTCGTGGCCAGGATCCCAACTCTGTCCTCGTGGCCCGGATCCCAACTTCACCCTCATGTCCCGGATCCCAACTCCATCCTCATGGCCGGATCCCAACTGCGTCTTCGTGGCCAGGATCCCAACTGCGTCTTCATGGCCCGGATCCCAGCTGCGTCCTCATGGCCCGGATCCCAACTGCGTCCTCATGGCCCGGATCCCAAGTCCATCCTTGGGCCAGATCCCAGCTGCGTCTTCGTGGCCAGGATCCCAACTGCGTCCTCATGGCCAGGATCCCAACACCGTCCTCATGGCCAGATCCCAACTGCGTCTTCATGGCCCGGATCCCAACTCCGTCCTCATGGCCCGGATCCCAACTGCGTCTTCGTGGCCCGGATCCCAACTCCATCCTCATGGCCAGATCCCAGCTGCGTCCTCGTGGCCCGGATCCCAACTCCGTCCTCATGGCCAGATCCCAGCTGCGTCTTCATGGCCCGGATCCCAGCTGCGTCCTCATGGCCCGGATCCCAGCTGCGTCCTCATGGCCCGGATCCCAGCTGCGTCCTCATGGCCCGGATCCCAGCTGCGTCCTCATGGCCCGGATTCCCGACCCCCGGGAGATCCCGCTTCGTGTCTCTTCTCTACTTCCCAAAGCGGCGCTCCTTGCAGCCCTCGCGAAAGGCTCTGCAGTGGGGTCTCCCAGCGCGGGGCCCTTCCCCAGTTCCCTAAAGAGGAGGCTCGTTTGGTGGACCCCAAAACTTTAGGGAACTGGGGAAGGGAACCCCCGGCAGCGCGGGCCCAGCCCTGGCCTCTCTGCTCGTCTCCCGAGGACCCCGCCCGCCGCCTCGGGTCCAGCCGTCGTCCAGGAGGCGGCGGACAGGGGAGACCGCGCGGCCCGGCCTGAGGCGCAGCCGCCCCCATCCCTTCCGCGGACCTCGGGAGGGGCCGCACCCCGTCCCCGACTCGCTCGCAAACGCCGCGGCCGCCCGAACCTCCCGGCCGCGGGACCGCGACACTACGGGGCCCCGGCTCCGCGCGCTGCGCTCGGGCCGCGCCTGCCTCGGTGGCCGCGCGGGGCAGGGAGCTGCGGGGACCGGAAGGATGGCGAGGAAGTCGGCGCGGGTTTCCTGACAGGAGAGATTACTTCCGTCCGGGCTGCGGCCTCTCTGGAGCCGGCCGGCGGGGCTCGGGGAGCGGCGTGCGCGGGGCTCGGGGCCGCGCCTTGCCGCCTGCAGCGCCCGGGCGGGCCGCGGGGGTCTTGGCGGGACGCGCTCGGCCCTGTCGCAGGGGCTCGCGGGGGGGATCCTGCAGGGGGGGCATCTCCGAGCGCCAAGCCATGGTGGCCAAACAGCGGATCCGGATGGCCAACGAGAAGCACAGCAAGAACATCACCCAGAGGGGGAACGTGGCCAAAACCCTGGTAAGGCGAGGTCGAAGCCGGCCGGGCCCAGGGGCAGCCGGGCGGGGTGGGGGCGGGGCGGGGCCGGGAGGGGCGGGGCCGGGTGGGGTGGGGGCGGGGCCGGGCCGGGCGGGGCGGGGCCGGGTGGGGTGGGGGCGGGGCGGGGCGGGGTGGGCGGGGGCGGGGTGGGGGCGGGGGGAGGGGCGGGGCCGGGCGGGGTGGGGGCGGGGCGGGGCCGGGCGGGATGGGGGCGGGGCCGGGCCGGGAGGGGTGGGCGGGGGCGGGGTGGGGGCGGGGGAGCGGCGCAGGGTCCGGCCTCCCGGCGCCCGGCCCGCCCCTTCTGCGGGGTCCTGCAGTGGGGGCTGAGAGCTGGGCTCAGGGCGGCGTGGTCCGCTGGTCGTCCTCCTGGGCGGAGAGGGCCCTGGTTGGTCGTGGCCTCTCTGGGAGTGGCCGCCTGGGCTACCGGGGAGACACAGAGGAGCCCCCACTTCCCCGGGAGACAGCTGGGCCTTGTCCCAGGGAAAGATGGAACGCCTCATCCTTAGGGGCCACTTAAGTCAACTACCTGACACAATGCCTGGAACCTAGTATGTTCTAGAACGTTGGTTGAATGACTGAATGAGTGAATCAATGGCTAAATGGAGGCCACTTGTCATCTCCTCCTCCCAGACTCCACCCGTCTTCCCTCCGCAACAGCCTTGCACCAGAATCAGGTTTTCTTTCCAGCCCATTTGTGAGGGTTTCCCTGGAGATGCTGAAAGGACTCAAAGTGGGGAGTGATATTTGGGCCCACATTCCCTCCAGCCTCCGTTTTCTCTTTTACCTCTCTCTTCCAGTGAGACCTCCCTCAGTCCCTAGGCTGTCTAAGGGCAGCTGCGTGAATTCAGGCTCATTCTGATGGTGTAACTTTAGAGAACAGTTTATGGCCAGGCATTGGAGTCCCTAGAGCTGTACATTGAAACTTCGTAACTGGACTTTCACGTAAAACCTGTGCCTTACACTCAGGGGTTCCTTTTAGCAAAGCAGATTGTCTTCCACAGCAAATGCTGGGCCTGTGACTCTGGACATTCAGAGACATAAGTCGCACGGGTACTTTGGCAAAGTTGGTCTCCAAGTGTGTGAGCAAAGGCGCCTGAGAGCTCTTATCCCATACAGTTAAATCTAGCTGGAGCTTGAAGTTTGGCTGGGAAAGCTTACAGATTTGATGAAGCAATTCCTTCTAGCCAAATAAATTATACTGGTTTGATTAAGTAAAAAGCTAGATCTGTAATCATCACACCAAAATTATTGCAAAACCAAGCAGTATTATGGCAGAGAAACTCTAGGATCAAACTCCACTCTACTCAGAGCTTTAGACACAGCTCTAGGCTTAAGTAATCCTTAAAATTCTCTCATTTAGGAATTAGATCACTTAGTTGTGATTCGGGCAGCAAAATGCCAGATGCCATCAAAGTGGAACCATTTGTCACATCGATTTATTTTCCCTAGATATTTTACTCAGAGAAAAAAAAAACCTTCCCAAATTGACATTGAGAAACAACTTATAATTGATGTTAGGGCATGCAGGGTTTTATATCCCTAAGAGATCAATTCTTCCTTCTCAAGGTATCAGACCTGCTAACTGACACAGTGAAAAATAGCTAGTCATGTGGCTCTTTTTCATTAACTAAAAAACCAGAGTTCAGATGTCAGATCTCAGTGGACAACTTATCTGATTACAAAAGTAAGAAGAAAACAGGAACAAATTTGCAAGGCCGTTTTAGCCATTGGGCTCTGTAGATTCAGTGTCTGCCACCTCACATTCTTCAAGAGGACTGGAAAATATTTGGGACCCAAAACAAAAGTTATTGGCTCCAAAATAAGAGAAGAAAATGGAAAATTTGGGAAAACACTGTTTAAATATCTAGAAAAGGTACCAGTCACCTACCATTCAACTCAATGTTCAGAGCTACATTTAAATTATATTTAACGTGCAGTATGAGTGCATTTTAACATGTTCTGATATGTCATATGCCTTGCACCATGAGGGTTTTTGAATGGCCTGGCTAAATTTGTAATGATATGTTTCCAGACCAAGCCACAATAAATGTATGCTTTGCACTGGTTTGGGGGGGATTTTTGTTAACCTTATTGTAAATAGATCATTATCCATTAGAAACATGAAATTTTGTTTCGAAGAGAAACTTGATAAATACTAAATCTCATTTTTTCAATTACAAGTCAAATATAATTATACTTTGTTAAAAGTAACTTGCAGAAGCTCACTATTCAGGATAAAACTCATTAAATGGAGCATATGTGTATATTCCAACTGAAAATCCAGACTAATTGTTCAGAAATAAACTCCTTTCACTGTATGCAGATGCTTCAGTATTTTATGGTTAACCACTTAGGGATAAATTAATATTATTCCCCAGATAGCAGACTAACCCAAGAAACGAGGCTGGGCTTGGTGGCTCACACCTGTAATTCCAGCACTTTGGGAGGCCGAGGCGAGTGGATCACCTGAGGTCAGGAGTTAGAAACCAGTCTGGCCAACATGGCGAAACCGTGTCTCTACTAAAAATACAAAAATTAGCTGGGCCTGGTGGCGGCTGCCTATAATCCCCGCTACTCGGGATGCTGAGGCAGGAGAACAGCTTGAACCCGGGAGGTGGTGGTTGTAGTCAGCCGAAATTGTGCCACCACATTCTAGCCTGGGTGACAGAGCGAAACTCCATCTAAAAAAAAAAAAAGAAAGAAAAAACAGAGAAATTGAATCATCATTTTGTGATTATACAGTAGTAACTTCTCCAGAATGAAGGGGGAGTTCAAATTTCAGAGTTCTGAGTTACCCTACAGGTGTCTTAATCACAGGGAAAGCCATTCCCTGACATTTTTGGAGCCTCAAGAAGTAGCAAACTCATGTTTGGAGTAAACCATGTCATTTGCAGAATTGCTACTAGTTTTCCCCACCTTTTCCAGCCAGAGTCAGGTTTATGTGAATTGTCTCATGGGATTATGCTGGGCACCCCTTCTAAAAAGTAGTCACCCAAGCTGTCAAAAAAAGATATGTGGGTACTATGATCGGCCAGAGTCCCCAAATAATGTTGATTCCCTGGAAAGTGTCATCCAAAAGGTTTCTGTGTTATCTGCTTTAAGCTCTGCATGCTGATCATCTGTTTCTCTGCATATGAAAATTAAAGGGCTCCATTTGGCATCTGTCCTGGGCAAATAATTCATTTACAACCTCCTGAATTCACTTATTAGCTTTGCTGGAAATATAGATAAAATGAATTTTTTTATGTAGCATTAGTGGCCAAACAGCAACAGAACTGGTTTCTGGGCAGCTGTGACAAGTTCCTGGGAAGAGGGTGGGGAAGGGCCAATGTCGCACTTTGTTCGGGTAGCTTTAGAGGTGTTGTTTACTTGATCTGAACCTGGCCTGGCCTTAAAGGCAGTTATCTTATGCAATTATTTAAGATGGATGTTGTCCTCATTTGTTCAAGAGCAGCCACCGATTCCTTTGCAGTGTGACTTGCCAGCATGTAAGTGGTGGGAGATACAGGCATAGTGAAGGACAGAGAAGTGACTGTCTTAATCCTTAGTCACAGTCTACCTGCCACTGACACTTTAACTCATATTTCTCATGTAGGAGAGATGCAGGGATAATCTTACACCAATTAAGAAGTATTAATAAAAAGACAATATCCTTCCTAGAACCTGTGTTTACTCTGTCTAACCCAAGAACTCTTATTTAATGAAACTTCTGTGTTTATTTGTTCTCTGATGAACGTTTATTATCTCCTGTGTTTAAGTTCCGTGCCAGGCATTTCTATACATTGGTACATGAACGAGACATAGTCCCTGCCCTTGTGGGGTCTACAGTCTCATAGAGAGACAGATATTGAACACATTATCACAGGAATAAATAAAGACCGACAAACTGTGACAGAGGCTATCAAGAAAAAGTACACGGCCATACAAGTGACAAGTGGACCCAAGTGAGGTCAAAGAGGAGGGCACTTTGGTAAGCTGAAAATAAAGAAGAACTGTTGCCTTATCTATGATTCCTTTTTTAGATGAGAAGCCACTTTTTATTTACATGCGCCTAGAACTTAACTTTACATATAATTGCCATCCATCATAGGTTTTGCAGTTTTAATTTATGATACATTTTTCTAGGAAAGCAGCTACAGTGAAAATCAAGGGAAGATTATCCTTTTTAAAGAAGTTTCTGTTAGAAAGATTACTAAAACTTGTTCAACAATTCAAAAACTTACATCCTTGATTATAGAAGCACTCGCTTTTTTGAAACATTATTACATCCCTTCACTCTGAATGTCAAGCTGTCATATTTGTATGGATATGAACTTACCTTTTAGCCCAATGTTGAATATAATTTTCAATGTCAACATCATTTAATTGAAATCTGGAACTGGGTTGTGATTTCAACCACGATCAGTATTTGTGAACATCCCACTCTACCAACGTGTTTTCCTTTGTGTGCGTTGCAGGTGAATTTTTTTAACTGACATTGAATGCAGTCTACTTTTCAAACCAATCAGAGATAATTAGAGTTCTTTGGGGTTTTCATTTTCACTCTCCTTTTCTATTTGAGAAATTCACTTCTTTTCTGATGCATCTCTCAGAAAAAAATTGTTGTTCTGATTGATTTGGGTTTAAGGACCAAGCCCTACCTGCCCTACCTAGACGTGTTATGGAGAGAAGATTTTGTTATGTTCGTGCTTTTGGTCTGAAAAGAGCAGGAGGTCTGTAGGGCTTTATTCACACAGGTTTGAGAGTTCCCTTCTGCTTCCCAGAGAATTCAGAGACCTCTCCCAAGTGCCAGCTTCATCAAGGCTTAGGAGCTTTATTATAAAATTGCTGCTTAGCTCATAACCATTCACAATTGCTGAGGTGCTTCTGTTGTTCTAAGGATTTCCACTGGACTGACTCCTAATTTAGGGGTATATGAAACGGCTTGAGAAAATGTCTGTGTTCTCTGATCCTGCTTGGAATTCACAGATGCAGAAACAAAATATTAAATCTATTAATGGAAAACATCCAGGCTTTGTAAGGAGGCAGACCTAAATTTGAATCCCAGCTCTTGCTCAAGTTAACAAAGTTTGAGCCTCAGTTTCTCAACTCCAAAATTGAAATAATAATACTTCCCAGAAATAATGAATGCAGACCGCCTAGTCTAGTGCCTGGTGCAGAGCGCACCTTCAACAGATGGAAGGTTATTATTAATATCATTTGGTCCCTGAATCACCATATTGGTTTATGTATTCACACTGTATCTGTCCCCAGAATATCAGAGACCACCAAGTTCACCGAGTTACGGGGTTGTTGATAAGGTTATTGGTGAATTCTTACAAACCTATCTCAATCCTCTTAATGGACTTTATTCATCTATAAATAGGGATTGAGACCAAGTCTGTCCCATTCACAGTAGAATCCGCAGCACCTAGCACAATGCCTAGTGATACTCAAATAAATGTTTATTGAATCGATGAACCTAATCTTTCTTTTTCCCATTCCCTTTTAGAGGCCTCAAGAGGAGAAATATCCTGTGGGACCATGGCTGTTGGCACTGTTTGTTTTTGTTGTCTGTGGCTCAGGTATGGGTGTTTCACTGAACTTACATCCCATGTTCTCCACTGGACTTTGAAAAACACACATTTTCTTCACAAAGTAAATAGACGAAAAACAGATTGGTCTGGGATTCAAGTTTATCATTGCCTTGAGCCTTAATGTTAATGGGTTTTGATTTAGTTTCTATTCCAAATATAGGTAGAGACAGAATTGATACACCATAAATCCTAATCATAAAATGACTAACTGAGCACTTAATGTGGCTATATACACTGTAAAGTTCAGTGAAGCATTTCTCTGCAGACATAGCCTTAAAAGGGCATTAGAACAGAAGGTGAAGCACCTGTCTGCCTGTGATAAACCCACATTCCAGAGAAAGGGAGAGGCCTTATGCTTTATAAGAAGGTTCTGCAGAACTCCTAGATACAGCTGAGCCTTTGACCCAACCCTTAAGGTATGGGTCACCTGATACTGTAAGGTGACAAGTTGAGAGCTTTACTTACACATGTGCAGATACACACGTACACACACACACAGGGAGAATGAGCAGAAGCATTGTGCCATTGTTTCTAGTTACATGCTGGACTATCCTTGACGTGGTTCCGGGTCCCCATATGTTGGGTCTCAGAAATCCTTGTGAGTGGAGGTCACTTGTGACCTTGTGAGTGTGAGTTAAGTGGAAGTCACTTAACTACACAGCCTGCCATTAGGGATTCCCACCCTCCATCATCTCACTGTTGCTGAGGGCAGGAAGGCAGGATTTCCACATCTTTCTGCTCAGGCTTAGGCCTCTGCCCCAATGACAAGGGAAGTCCATGACTAAAGATGGATCATGCATTCAAACCTAAAATCATGAAAATGTTTAGAAAAGCATTTTTAAGATGGATCAGTTCCTTCTGTCTTCAAGAGAACACTCTTCCAAAGAAGCAAAAACTCTTAGAAGGAAGGATCCAAAGTAATTGGCATTAATGTTGCTTGTGGTTCTAATATTTTAAAGATGATTTGACATTCCAAGATGAGAAAAATCTTCCACCCAAAGAAACACAGTTCTACTCTATTCCCAAAGAAATATCCTTAAGGACATCTTTTAAAGAACTGTTACTCCATCTCTGTTTGAATACTTCCGAGGATGGGGTGCTCACTTCTTCAAAAAGCCTATTCCATTTCTGTATAGCTGGAATTCTATTAGAAATGTCCCTCTTCCTAGGATAACACCGAATGGACTCATTCTCCTCTAAGCACTTTGAATCATCAGCTATTTTAAAGATGATTGCCTGGTGACTCCTGCAAACCAAGCTTCCCTAGTTCTCTCCACCTTGCCTCATAAGATGTGGTTTCTAGACTCCTCTTCTGGATCTACTCAATGGCTTTCTTAAAGTATAGCATTTGGTGGTGCATGCCTATAATCCCAGCTACTCAGGAGGCTGAGGCAGGAAAATCGCTTGAACCTGGGAGGCGGAAGTTGCAGTGAGCAGAGGTCACACCATTGCACTCCATCCTGGGCAACGAGAGTGAAAATCCATCTCAAAAAAAAAAGGTATAACATTTGCAACTGCAGAGGGTGGTCTAGAAGCAGTGTGATCACCACAGAGGCAGTTAGAGGCAGGAGGATCGTCACTGCCCGTGACTTTGCTCACTCCCCACTCCGCCTCTGTTAATATGACCCAGGCTTGCAGTTACTCTTTAAGATTTGTGGTACATCCTTGACTCGTGTCTAGCTGATGGCCAGCAAGGTGCCACCCAGCTCCTCCTCACATAACTTCCTTCAAGCCTCAGAGACACATCTGCAGACCCCTTTGCACCAAATTATCTCCTGTCTCTATCACACATTATTTTATTTTACTCACGGCTCTCATCAGCAGTTGAGGTTATTTACTTTCTTATGTTCATTCCCTCCAGCAGGATATAAGCTCAGGGAAGCCAGTGTTTATTTTCCATTAAATTTGTAGATCCTAGCTTAGTATTTAGCATATAGTTAGTGCTCAGGATGGATGGATGGATGGATGCATGGATGGATGGATGGATGCATGGATGGATACATGCATGGATGGATGCATGCATGGATGGTTGCATGGATGCATGCATGGATGCATGAATGGATGGATGGATGAATGCATGCATGCATGCATGGATGGATGCATGCATGCATGGATGGATGCATGCATGGATGGATGGATGGATGGATGCATGGATGGATGCATGCATGGATGGATGCATGGATGGATACATGCATGGATGGATGCATGCATGGATGGATGCATGCATGGATGCATGCATGGATGGATGCATGGATGCATGCATGTATGCATGAATGGATGGATGGATGGATGCATGCATGGATGAATGAATGGATGGATGCATGGATGGATGGATGCATGGATGGATGGATGCATGGATGGATGGATGCATGCATGGATGGATGGATGCATGCATGCATGGATGAATGAATGGATGGATGCATGGATGGATGGATGCATGGATGGATGCATGGATGGATGGATGGATGGATGGATGCATGGATGCATGGATGGATGGATGGATGCATGGATGGATGGATGCATGGATGGATGCATGCATGGATGGATGCATGCATGGATGGATGCATGGATGGATACATGCATGGATGGATGCATGCATGGATGGATGCATGCATGATGCATGCATGGATGGATGCATGGATGCATGCATGTATGCATGAATGGATGGATGGATGGATGCATGCATGGATGAATGAATGGATGGATGCATGGATGGATGGATGCATGGATGGATGGATGCATGCATGGATGGATGCATGCATGGATGGATGGATGCATGCATGCATGGATGAATGAATGGATGGATGCATGGATGGATGGATGCATGGATGGATGCATGGATGGATGGATGGATGGATGGATGCATGGATGCATGGATGGATGGATGGATGCATGGATGGATGGATGGATGCATGGATGGATGGATGCATGCATGGATGGATGGATGGGTGGATACATGGATGGATGCATGGATGCATGGATGGATGGATGGATGGATGCATGGATGGATGCATGGATGGATGGATGGATGGATGGATGCAGCTAGATATTTCTCATACTGTAGGTATCTAGTTGGCCTTTTTTGAGACCTAATATAAAACTTTATAACTATTTCTTTTTTTATTCTCAAAGAAAAACAGTTACTTTTATTAAAATTTTATTGTTGGTTATCATTTATCTTTTTATGTAATGTCCATGAAGTTCAGAAACATAGATGAACATGTACAATAAATGGCTTACTGATATTACATTATAGTCTACAATATGGTCAGTGACATTACATGATATATTCATGTACTGTCCTTCATTAGTAATGCATAGGTCCAAGCACTGTGCAAAATTGCAATGATTATGACACTAATGCAGCATTTCCGTCAATACCTACATATTCATTCATCTGTGATGCGTTGCCTCAGATGATCCGTCTCTGGTTTTCAACCAAGAACAAAATAAAAACAAAGAAACAAATAAAACTGTGCCTTTAGCATGCCACAGGAGCATCAAGATAATAAACCTATACGAAAAAGTTGCCTATGGCTTCAGGCTGTGTGACCAGTCTTTGGATTGCCTATGGCTTCAGGCTGTGTGACCAGTCTGTGGATTGCCTGTGGCTTCAGGCTGTGTGACCAGTCTGTGGATTGTCAGGTCTTGGACTTTGAGCCTCTCATCTACTTACCCTTTTTTCCCAGCGTTATGGCCTCTGAAAGTATATTATTCTTCCAAGTCACTGGTAAAAGTCTAGACTTGGAAAACCCCACAGAACACAATTAGAGACAACCTCTTTCAGGTTGACTTTGAACCTCTAAGCAAAACTCATTGAGACAGTCATCGTGTCTTGAGGGCCCCCTCTGTGCCTGGCGCCGTGCCAGGCTTTAGAAATACAATCCTGTTTGGGTGCTTGCAGGCATTGGGAGAGGCAGATAAGGAAGCTGTCAGTTGCAGCCCAGGGGAAGCATGGTGCGATAGTGACAGCAGAATGTGCAGGGTGCTTGGCCAGCATCGATAAGGAACTTGTAAATCATCCTCTGCGGAAGAGAAAGTTTCCAAGTGGGGGTGCTGTTTGAGCGGAGTCTGGAAGAACAAGCAGCCAGACCAAGGGCACGAGGAAGGTGCCTCTGCATGGGAACACTATGTGGCAGTCGCAGGGTGGCTTCAGAGAGTGTGCTGGGCTCAAGAATATAAGGTGCTCAGAATGGCCAAAGCCTAATCTCAGGCGTCTCTGAGCCCAGTGACCATGCCACCTGTATTGCCAAGGGTCTCAGTGGATAAAGATGTATCCAGGCTTCAAGTCACATGGTAACTGTGGTTTTCTCCAGTCTACCCTCCGAGGAGCCTGTAAGCAAAAAAGCCAGTAGGGTCATTGGCCTGGCTTATTTTTCTCAAATCCATGCCAGCTCTCAAAATCCTTCTCTTGCTTTTTGAGGGGCTTAAAAACTAATTATATGACCTAAACTTTTGCCTGGCTTACCAGCCCATACTGCAGGACCTGTGTCTTTCCCTCTTGGGTAAATTGGGACACTTGCTAACAAGCACCTTTTGGAACTCTCCCAGACTCCAGTGGTGTCCCAGGGATTAGTGTGGTAGCTCCGCCTCTCCGGAGGTTTGTGCAGGGCCATGGGATGTGAGCCTGCAGAGCCTGGGGATCTGGATGAAAGGGCCTGAGAGGACCCACTCTTATTGCCATACCATAGCCCCTGCTCTTAATGCCCAGGGCTCTTTTAATGATGCTGATTTAAAGCTTTCTAGTGATAAAGCCATTTTGCTTTTATGGAGCGGTTAGACACAGAACACGAGTTGAGCCATCTTAGTTTCTCTGTCCTCTGAACATGGCATCATGATCCCTATGCAATGGGCTTCATCCCTCTTTTAATTACAACTAAAAATAATTCACCACCACCGTTTTTTTCTTGCCAACTTTAGCAGGTTTTTTGCAAGCCTCAGCTCAAGTCGGGCACGGTTCTCACAGAAACGTGTCACTCTTCTCAGCT